CAATGTACCAGCTCACAGGGCACTGTATGTGAGGGAGTTTTTAGCCAGTAAACAAATAACTGTATTGGAACACCCACCCTACTCACCTGATCTGGCCCCCAATGACTTCTTTCTTTACCCAAAGATAAAGAAAACATTGAAAGGAAGACATTTTGATGACATTCAGGACATCAAGAGTAATACGATGACAGCTCTGAAGGCCATTCCAGAAAAAGAGCTCCAAAATTGCATTGAAGAGTGGACTAGGCACTGACATCAGTGCATAGTTCCCCAAGGGGAGTACTTTGAAGGTGACCATAGTGATATTCAGCAGTGAAGTATATAGCATTTTTTGTAGGATGAGTTCTCGAACTTAATTGTCAGGCTTGTGTTTTTATCTTATTTGGTACTCTGAGAGCACTTGTGTCTTTAATTGTGGAACATCTTCAGCCATGATCTCTTCCAATATTCCTTCTTTGCATTATCTTTATTTTCCCTTTTCTGAAATCCTATTAAACATTTCATAGTGCTGAACATTTCACATTCCACATCTCAACAGCTTTTCAAACTGCTTCTGTCTTTACTGCAGCTGTGTTTATCTTCCTGCTTTACACCATCTGTGAATTCCTCGGTGCTAGCTTTCGTTTTACTAATTATCCCTTCAACTATGTCCAATCTAGAGTGTATCCTAGTTTATGTCTAAAGTTTTCATTTCCAGTATGCTCGGTATTTATCACTATTCAATTGTTCTTGTTTAATTTCTGCATTTTCTACATGTTCTTATTCTCTTTTTTTTAAACTCTCTTCAGACTGTTACATATTTTGTATCACTTCTGGAGTGAATTCACATCCCAATTTGAGTTAAATATCCTTATATACACTTTGAGTGCATCTACGTTCTCCCCTTCCTTCTTCTTTGTTCTTTCAGCTATCCCATGACTATGTGTTAAAAGCATGGTGACGGCACCATCTTGACCACAAGTCCAATGTCTCATTCTAACCAGGCTCCTCCTAATTCTAACCTTATCTCCAAACCAGCCACTTTGTAAAGCCTTTCTTGACCATTCTTACCGTATACGAACTATCTCTACCTACTCTGGTTTGTTCCACCCTGTTTTTGCCTTCATTTAGCACTTATCAAACAAGTGTCTCTTGAAGACCAAGTGTGTGCCACATCTTCTGTTAAGCACCACAGTATAAACATGAGAACGTCAAGGTCTCTTCCTCAAGGAACGAAGCTGAATGAGCAAACAAACCACACTTGTGCAGAGTAAGTACTCCAGTCCAGGGATACCAAAGGTTCAGGTGACACCGAGAAGGATGTGGTCGACATTGCACAGGAGTGGGAGGGGGCAACAAGCTGAGCCCATAGGGAGGAAATCCTTGAACTGGGTCTTGAGGAAGAGGAGTTAACCAAGCAGAGCTAAGGACATCCCAGGCAGAGGGAATAGCATGCTCAATGGCACTGAGGAGGAAAGGAGCAAGGACCCTTTCAAAAACAAAGGACACCAAACCTAGGACATGTGAAGAAGGCAAGCAGAAAAGGATGGAGATGGGGCTGCAGAGCTGGGTGTGCAGGGCATCAGGCAACATTTGGGACTCCCTGATGTTCTCCTAGGAACCGTGCAAAGCCCTTGTTGGGTTGAAGGATTGAAGCAGGGGTTGGCAGGACAAGGTTTTTCACTGGAAGGGACCAGAAGCAATGGAAAAGACCAGAGTAGACGTGGGGCCAGTTAGGAGACTATTGCAAAAGTCCAGGCAAGAGATAACAGCAGGCTAAATGAACTTGGAGGTCCCAGGATGGAGGAAAGTGGGAGTGGCAGAACTGAGGTAGAACTGACAGATACATATTTGTGATTAAGATAAAGCAAGGCCTGGTAAGTCTAGGCCTAGATAAGCTAACTCCTTAAGCAAGGGAAGACAGCAGGCAACTTCCACAGCCCTGGTTCCAAGTTGTCCGAGTCAGCATCTTAGGAACTGTGGCACAGAGCCTTGATTAATTTCCTGCTATGGCCCTGCCTAGGTATGTGTTCTGAATACATCTTTAATTTGTGTAAATTAAAATCATTTTATTTCCATATTTTATGGACAAACACCTTGAAAAAAACAAAGACATGTTTAAATTCAGCATAGAAACCGATTACTCTCTTACCCTGTATCTCTCTGGATGTATTTAAAAAATAAGGGGCTTGCTTGGCAGAGTGCAGTTGTTCTCATTTCTTCACATCATCCCATGTGAGTGTTTCAGTGTGGGAGGCAGGAGCTTACCTGGAGGTGATGGACAGGCCCCATCTAGCCTTCTGCACACCTGGCCCTAGAGCAAGCAAGCATCCCCAGAACTTTCGCAATTGCATCTGCTCTCCTGCCAGCTAGAGAGCGGATGTCATTGTGGTTACATTGAGAATCTACCACGTTCTGTGAAAAATATCATTGGGGTCACAAAGACTCCTAGGTGGGTTAGATATGTTGTCTCGGTATCCCCCTCACCCTTGGTCGTGCTCTGTACAAAGGGACTGCCACGCCCATGGTACTTTTCTTAGCCACAAAGCTGGAAGGACTCCAAGCCAGCTGCATCTCACTTCCAGGAGACTAAGATGGGACCACTCTATTTTCAAGCATTGCACCCCAAAATCTGATCATCATCATACTCAGAGGCATAGTCCCCAAGGTCGAAATATCTGCAGGTTGACTCTGGCTCCTGTGCATGCATCCTCTGCAAGGCAAGGTATACTTTCACAGCTGTCCGTCCTCTTCACCACCCTCCTGATTGCATACTTCGACCAGCAGGGTCATTTGACACTCTTTGCAGTAGGAACAGAGATGAAGCAAAATGGGAAGCTGCTGCTTAATATGAGGATTGCAATGTTGGTGGCCTGTCTGGGCTTGGCTATTACCTTCATTTATGTGAGTTAAGGCACAGCACTGTGTCTGCACAACCAGGAATACACACACACACACACACACACACACACACACACTCATCAGTATGCCAGGGGATCCACTACTGTGAACCCATTCATAACCGTAATTACAAAGGGTTTCTCTCCTCAACCTCTCTCATCTTTAATTTTAAAGTGTTTCATATACTGGTGCAAGTCCTCAATGATATAGATACATTGTATCTACTACAGCCTTGCTAGTAATTACAAAAATTGAGAAACTACTTAAGGGAAAATGCACCCATTTAGAAGAATGGGGTAGCTCTCTCTACATGTGCTGACATGAAAACCTTTCCTTCTACTGTTAGATAAGAAAGGTAAGTTGCAAAAATATATACATGTCTCTCAAGTGGGGTATAAACATCTGTTTATGCACAAATAATATCCGAGGGACACACTCAACTGTAACAGTGATTTTCTCTGGAGAATGGATAACTATGAGGAAAGTTCAGACAGGGAACTTTCCCTATATTCTTTTTTGTATTGTCTGAGGTTTTTCAGGAATATGTAATTCTTAAAAAAACAGTCATAGAGGGCGGCCAGTTAGCTCAGTTGGTTAGAGCTCAGTGCTCATAACACCAAGGTTGTTGGTTCGATCGGTTGTCGGTTTGATCCCCACATGGGTCACTGAGCTGCGCCCTCCACAACTAGATTGAAACAACTACTTGCTTGGAGCTGATGGGTCCTGGAAAAACACACTGTTCCCCAATAAAAATATTTTTTTTAAATCCTAGATATAAAATGTTAAACATGCCATGTTAGAGTAAGCTGCTTGGATGCTTCGAGAAGGGGAAGGGAAGCAATGAAATCACAGTAATTTTTTTTATAAAGCCCATTCAACACTTAAGTTCGGATCTTACAAAGGGAGTGCAGTCTGTAAATACAGCTCAGCCCAGGCTGTGATGTGACATCCAGAGGGTGTCTGGGACACAGTCCCCACAGGGCAGAACTCACAGGTAGGGCAGACACATGGAACAGATAATGCCAGGTGACTTGACTCTAGAATCAAGAAGCAGTGTAACGTGCATCCAATATGGAATTCAAAGTGGGAAGACCCGGAAACTCAAGACATGGGAGGAGAGCACGCACTGGATCTGGAAGGTTTCAGGACAGCAACAGACAAAAAGGAAGAGGATACGTGTGTGCCAGGGCCCGAAGGGAAAGCTGCCTTCACCCAAGCATTCACCTGGGCTACACACAACCCTGCCCAGCACCCAGAGCTGGGGCTACAGAGAAATGAGGTCCAAGTCCCACAGCACAGGAGCTGGCCCCAGGGTGTAAGCAGAAAACCTTCCAAGCAAAGGGCACAGTAAAGGCAAGAGGAGCCGGGAGTTAGACAACCTCTAGCCCTGTGAGGATGCCGTGGTGGCGGACTGGGCAGAGCCTGGGAGAAGCCAGCACCCAAAGCTCTGAGGCTCTGAGCCAAGCTGGGGTTAAGCATCCGTCCAGTCCTGCAGGTCATGGGAGGCAGCAGTAGTGACACTGTTAGATCCCTTTATGAGACTAATGCTCACAGCCGGTGGTTGGAGGACTGTCCAGGAGAGAGTCTGGTGTGGAGGCTGTTGCAACGACCCTAAGAAGGAATGAGGCCCTGTGGCAAAGGTTTGGCCACTGAGAGAAAGCCCCAAGGGCGTGGTCAGCAGAGGACCACCAGCCCCACACAAGGCCTAGGTGGTGACTGCCTCACTGGAAGTCTCCTACGCAGAAGGGCGAAGGTCCTTCCTGAGAAAACCCCGGAGACTACCCTGACCAAGTTGCCCAGAAGTGGGCAAGTCACTAACTCCTTTTCCTTCTCAGCCCTCAGTACACACTTTGCAGACAAAGCCCCAAGGTAACAATGCTAGAGACACTTTTTGAGTGAGGGCAAAGGAAGTGGTCACTCCTCTCTGCTTTCCTGCTCTCTCTCACCCTCACGTCTTGAGATCTCTAATCTCTCTTCATCCTCTGTCACCCCCCACAAGAGCGCCATTTCCAAACTTTTTCTTTGGTCCTCAAACCTGCAGTTCTCAACTGCCCCCCCCCCCCC